CTTTTTTCTTATCGATGTTCTCCCCGACGTTTTTCCTTGGGGCATTTTTTATGAACTGGTGGAGCTCACCCCGTTGAATCAAGAGCTCAATGGCTTTCTTTATCGAGACGCAATCGTCAGTATCGTGGGAGGTGCTTCTGTGGTAACGGCAATAAGTGTCGCCCTCGTGGACGACGTAGATCTCTCTCGCTGACCGAGGGTCTTTGGGGAAAAGGTCCTGCTCCTCCGCATAGTCGAGGATCGTGCTCACCGAGTGTGTGAGGGGAGTCCTCGGTATGTCCAGCCGAGGGCGCCATTAGCGGTCATTCTGGCCCTGCTGGGTGTGGCTTCCGTGGCCTCGGTCCCCGGCCGAGGGTGGATTCGGGGCCGGCGTGATGTTTGTCTTCTTCGATGGCTGGCCCCCGTCCCTTTTGAAGGAGTGGAGGTCATCGGCGTCGGCGTACAGGCTCCCCCGCTGCAAAGCTTTGAGGTACGATCTTGGGGGGTCGATGATGAGGCTCCGCGCGTAGAGACTGCTGCGGAGAACCCCCTGGAAGAGGACGAGGAGAATACGCTCGTCGGCACCCTTGACCTCGTCCGTCTCCTTCATCCACTGGTCAATGAAAGACCGGAGTGTTTCTTCAAGCTGTCTCTACCCTTGACCTCATGCTTTTTGACGGAGAGGAGATGGGAGAAATGCTTTTTCGCGCGCTTCCTTCTGGCAAAGTGGGTGAGGAAGCGTTGGACAAGATCCTACCATTAGTCTATGCTCCCCTCGGGCAACGCATTGAACCATTCGTACGCCGGTCCCTCGAGATTGGAGAGGAACCAACGGCATAGGTATTTGTCAGATGCATTGACCATCAGCATGTTGTTTTGATATCGGGTATTGGGGCTGAGAGCACCCTGGTGGTGAAAGGGTCTTGATCTTGATTTCGTCCCGTTAGTCCTTGGCGGGCGCGGCGGCGCCGGAGGCCTGGTTGCGAACCGCATTGATATGGTGGCGAGCGTCCTCCTCGTGTAGCTTGCCTTTGCCTTTGTCAAGGCGAGGCCGATCTGCTGTCCGAGATACGGATCCCAAGCTCTCCCTCGGTGAGACAGGCTCACGTTCACTGATCCGTTCCGCCAGCCTCAACCTATTGAAGGTCGAAGGCTTACGCACTGGGGGCAGGTCCAGCTCGGGGAGGGGAAGCAGGATCGGAGCGGGAGGTTGTGTCTTGTGCCCTGACCCCCTCATCGATGTGTATATTCATGACCAACGGATAAGGAGGAGGCGGCGGAAAAGGGTCGATGTTCCCCCGGCATGGGTCGGGGGCAGTACCTGAGTTTCGAAGGCTCCAGGATTCTAGGTAAGCGTGTGGATGAAGGCAGATAGGGCTGATTGTATGTCGGCAGTGAGGACCGGAGGGCTCACTTGATTCTCACTCCAGTCTTTCCTTGAATGTCGATGTCGAGGCAAGCATCGGGAGCATTCTGTTGGAGCTGAAGGTGCAGGTCTGCAGCGGCCCCTTCTATCTCGGTGAGGGCTCCGCCTTCGCAGCCCTATTGGAGGCGTCTGGAATGTCAAACTCGTCGAGGGCCAGATTCTTGTCCTCAAGGTTCTTGGATTGAGCCCGAGTTGCCCTTCCCATTTTGGTAGGTGTTTTCGTGTTTGGTGAAGGAGAGGGTTTCTTACTTGATTGTTCGGACCTCTCAACGAGAGCACCAAATGATGGATAGTCTACCTGGGGGTAGCTTATCCGAGGGTTATTGCGGAGAATAACTAGAGAGAAGTCAGAGCAAATAAGTAAGAGAGAGAGTGTATTCGAGTGTACTAAATGAACTCAGCGTGCTTTACAAGGTGAATAAGGGTTGTTATTTATAGCAGCCATAAATGCGATGAAAGTACACGTGTCAACAATCTAACGGCCGAAAGGTCACCTCAATCGGGGTGGCACCGACATATGCATGTGCACCGCATTAAATGCGGTGGGTGGATGTGACGCCGCATTAAATGCGGCGGTTGTCTGTCCCCAAAGGGAATCATCGATGATTACGCTGTTGCCGAAGGCTCTGTGTGTCGGGGCCTCCATGTGGCCGAAGGCTCTGTGTGCCGAGGCCTCCATGTGGCCGAAGGCTCTATGTGTCGGGGGCCTCCATATGGCCGAAGGCTCTTTGTGTCGGGGGTCTCCAAATGCCGAAGGCTCTATGTGTCGGGCCTCCATGTGGCCGAAGGCTCTATGTGCGAGGCCTCCATGTGCCGAAGGCTCTATGTGCCGAGGCCTCCATGTGCCGAAGGCTCTATGTGTCGGGGCCTCCATTTGGCCGAAGGCTCTATGTGTAGGGGCCTCCATGTGACCGAAGGCTCTATGTGCCGAAGGCCCGTATTTCGAGTCTTGTTCTCTTGTGATGTTACGGACTTGATTTCATGAATGTTAAGTCTTCGGGCATGGGACCGAAGGCTCCCCCCTTGCGTATTATGGGCTACCTGGAGTCTTGTTTGGTGGGCTTGGCCCATTTGGACCTGTTGGGCCTTATTGCAGTAGTGGAAGTATGTGGGCCGGGGGTTCCTGGGCCATATACTCCATCAATCTTATTACTTCATCATCTATAGTAGTCTCAAGCACATTTTCTTTTGCAAGTACTTGTGAGGAACCATCAGATTGAACTGATCAATTTCATCGGCTAACAAGCTCTCTTTCTCTGAAACTAACTTATGACTGAGTTGCATATCTGTAGTATTTTCATCCAGTGGGGGTGAACTACATACAAACTACTCTGTATCGCTTTGTTGAGTTTCTAAGAACCATACCTTTGTTTTCCAAGGATCTTCCAGATTATCAGGTAGAGTTCCCGTAGGTTGCGACGTATCCTCCTTAGTCTCCAACTCCTGGAATGAAGGTGCAGCTGTCTTCAATTCTGTATTCATTGTCATTGGTTGAGTCCCCAGCGATCCCTTTCCTGATGCGACTAAATCGATGGTTCTGGAAGCGGATGAATCTGGCGTACAGCGTACTGAAAGAAGATGCTGGCGATTGAGACGAAATCTGCAAACAAGCAGAAATGATTCACAACTGCGAACTGGGAGAAGAAGTTCGCGATTGCGAACTGGAAGAATCAGCTAGAGATGAAGTCAGCGAACAAGAAGATTCTGCTTGCGACACAGTCTGTGACGGGGATGAACCTTTGCTATTCTGGCAGCGTTGCATGGTCCGCGATCATCCTCACCGGCGACATTATTGGCGCAGCTTGGTGCGCATCTTGTCCAACCAGATCCTCATCTCCTTCACCCAATCACTCTCAACCTTTTCCGCGAGCTTCTCCACTTTTCCACGCTCAACCTTTTCCGCGAGCTTCTCCACTTTTCCGCGCTCAACCTTTTCCGCGAGCTTCTCCAATTCTCCGTACGAAGCATCACGATCAGATCTTCCATGCTGCCTGCGCGGTTCCTCTTCGCCTTGCGTAGACAGGCACTTCTCCATGTTCGCCCGCAAACCAGAGGCAGCCACCTTCTGTTCTGATCATCGATGTTCCCTGCACTGCTCCATCTTTTTTGTCGAGTGAATGTCGATAGAAGCTTCTCGGGCTCCAAAAATTGATTGTAAATTCAATTATTACTGAAGAACTGGTGCGAATAACAATGGTAGAAAACTGGGAAAAAACAAAAACGTAACGGGACTGATTCGAGAGCGCCCCCCTCTCCCAAGCAAATATGTAATTTCAGCCTACCCCCTTCCTTCCTTACTCCCACTCTTATACTAATTCTATTCTAAAGGGCCAACCCAAAACCCATGACTTACATGGCCCGAAACCCATATTTATACAACACCAAAATTATTTAATATCATTCTATTGCTATTATTCATAATCATCATCATTACCCCGGTGCCGCAATGGATCCCACCTACGGTGGGGTAAGGGGGTAAAATGTACGACCCTTGTACAAAAGCACGGAGCCACAGAGAGACTGTTTCCGGATGACCCATAGAGAAAATCGCGTCGAAAATTGCATGAATAGACCGCTACTTCATAACAAAGAAGCGCAGACAGTTTAGTGAGCCATTTTGCTTTATTCCATCATATTGCTATTATTATTATTATTATTATTCTCTTTAGCCCAGGATCCTATCGATACAAGACTCCTGAAAGAGTCGGAGGTCATGCTACTTGTAGGAGACATGATGTATACTGACTTGGACACAATCTGGAATAACTAGGACTTCCATTCTTAGAGCTAGCCGACCAGTCTCGATGAAGGTTGGCCTGTAGGGATGACTAGGGCAAGTGAGGATCAGGCTCTGATACCAACTTAAATTTACTGATTTGAATAAATTTGCTCGAGAGAAATTACTCTCAACTGACTCTTATTTATAAGGTTCATAATTAGAAGGAAAGAATCATATGTACATCAATCAGTTATTAACTCCTGATTTGATATAATCTGTAAAATAAATACTAAAATCAAGAAGGATTTCACTTAGAATTATATCAAATCTGACCACCGGCCAAACTCGTAATCAACCGGATAAAAAGAATAATTGATTTTATATAGTTGGGCAATTTAATTGGGTAAATCAATAGTACGAGGGCTCAATTGACTTTTTGAATACATCATGGGGCCATATTTGATAGTTTTCCCAAAAAGAAAATAATGGCCATGTGTCGCCACATATGGCCATGTGTCGTCAGTTCGTCACATGTATATTTTCCTGTTAAAAAGTTGATTTGAATGTTTTTTAAAAGATCAAGTGCTTAATTGGGTAATTATTGAATTTGAAGGCTTAATTGACTTTTTCAATATAGTATGGGGCTGATTTGACACTTTCCCAATCAGTAACAATTCCAACAGACCAAGTACCTGAAAGTAGACGACAAGTTTTAAATCTTAAGACCAAGTACCTTGTGGTCTGATCTCTCAAAGAGGAAGTCAGAGGTTCGAGTCTCATCCCAATCAAGGATGTTGGCATTATGAAGAACAGGTACTATAATAGGTTTAGAAGAATAGTCCAAAAAAAACCAACAATGGACTTTTTAACTCATACCTTGCCGCTAAGCAGCTTTTCTGCAACTGAACACTTTTTTGAACTTCTTTCAACCTGCGGTTCGCGGATACTGATATGCTGGATACTACAAAGTAAATATATAGAAAAGCATTTAAAAATCATAAAGCAAAAGCATGTTTAATGGTGAGTAAAAAGAATAGATGCTTACTGTCCAGCCGGACTAAATAGTTGCTTAAGATCTTCCACTGAGTGATCCGCTGGTAAGTTCTCTACCAATACAGTGCATAGCTATTATAAAGTTTATAGTAAGATACTTTTGTTCTTTATGAGTAATATCTTTGTATTACTATTTACTACAAAAATAAGGAAGGAAAAAAAAAAGATACCTGGGGGTCCCTAACCCCAATGCATGGGAGAGGATTCAGTCTCTTCACTGCTTTCTCATCAGAACTGACAACCTGTGCATACACACCAGGTGGGAGAACATGGAAGGAAACCAATATCATAACCACAAGATTTCATTAGAGGGGAAACAACAGAATGCACTCTTCAAATCTTGTTCTAGTACACCCTAACTTTAATATACTTCATTTCATTGACATCATATAAGTCTAAGGATCATCATGTTACATTGTGAGAAGCCTGAAGCAGCATTGAGTAATTCATATAAAGGATTATACATTTTACATGCTTCTTGTCCTCCTTCCCCTTGTTCATTTGCAGGATAGTGGCAAATGTATACTTGTATACCATATAATAGCCCATGTTCTTGATTTGAATCAAGAGACAGGAAGGAAGCAAACTTCACAACATGACCAACCTTCTTAGCTAAAACATTTTGCCGACGTTTGTCATATGGGAAAAAGTTTTGAGATAAATGGGCCTGTCGAGACAGAAAGGGTACAATGCTAGTCTCCTTGAAGGCCTGAATTATAGATGCCTCAGAAAGGGATAACAGCAATTTTGCAGGAAAAATATATAGAGAAAAGAAGTTAAAATGAGCCTTTTAAGATTAAGGATGATTACCAGAAGAGAGGATTCCTTGAGTGCAGTCACAATCAGTGGTATTTCTTTCGTCAGCTTCTTCATTCTTTTGAATGAAGCAATAACATTGAGAGGAACTGCAAAATATATGATAAGTCTTCAGTTCTTATACAATGAAAAAACTACCAAGACTATGAAACTCTATGCCAAGTATGCCATACAGATGGGCACAAAATGTGAAACATCATCTCTCACTTACCAAACCCTTCTTCATTGTTGGTTACATATTTCAGAAGAAACTTATCAGTTAGCAAATTTGCATCACTGAAATAATATTCCACCTGCATGGCCAAACAAATCCATAAGCTTTTCTAAATTCGACAAGATATAATGCATCTTATCACAAAAAAAAAGTGATAAATAGTGGGGGATGTAGAAAGTTGGAAAAGCAAGTCTATACTTTGACACATATTTGAGATTCTATGAAAATTGAAAGAAGAACATAATATGTGAACACATGACATTTCAATATCCCCTGCCTAAATATGGGGCTGGTGATGGTGGTGATTGATGAAACTCCTGCTCATCCCTGCATAAACACACACTATGTTGCATGGATAAGGATGCGCTGATACGCTGATACGGGTGCAGCGATACCGCAACTTTGAAAAATATAGGATATGGGTACAAATGTACAATGGTATATTTATAAATAATAATAATACAGATAAAATTTACAGATATATATAATCTAGATGTTCATAAATACAATAATAATTGTACCAAAAAATAATAATCATAATAACATTTCAAAGATTAGACTAAAAATAAAATTAAAGCACTCGTATTTCAATTTAAATTCAAATAACACCCGATTCACTATTTGCATTTACATCTAAGTCTTTTAACAAGATAGATTCCAATTCAGGATCATGAAAAGACAAATGGGCAAAGTTAAGTATTCCATTATTTTCCATACTCCTGAAATCATCTCTACCAATGTCCCAAATCTTATGTTTCTTACTTACATATCAATATCAAACACGATTGATTAAGATGTGAATTGAATTGAAACTTATCAAGTGTATGAGAGATGTATCAAGAAGAAGATGTATTACTACTTTATCCGATAAGGGATGCATATGAATGCACATGAAGAACGAGGATTGATGATTGAGGAGTGAAGAGTTGTGATCGCCTAGGTTGTCACTCTATTCTTGCCAGGTCGTGTATGAAATTAGAGTTATAGGGTTGGATACGCGTATCGGTCCATGGATATGTGTATCGTAAGTATTTATATTTTTAAAAATAAACCCAGTACTTGTATTAAATTACGGATACAGACCCAATACATACAAGACGTGTATCGGTGAGTATCGGTATCAGATACGTATCAGATACGCGGATACTGATAGGATCCTGTGAATAATCTCAGCAAAAACAATAACACGCACAACAGATTTGATAGCAAAGAGGGAAATAGTAGTTTACTGATGAAGCAAGCTTCGACTTAGGCAACAAGTATCGGGACTCTTAGGCAACCGGGACTTAGGCAACAGATAATCAAAATCAGTCTACCCTTATTAGCTACCCAACTTACTATTTATAGCAGTAGGTCCACGCAGGGACTAAAATAGAAAAATAGACTCAATAAATGACCCCAGCCCACTAATTGACCTCAGCCCATTTTATTTCTCCTTTCAAATACCCTATTAAAATACTTAAACAGGCAGATTCCTATCATTACTCCCCCCCTAATTAACCACCTTGCCCTCAAGGTGGGTAATAAGACACCGCCTTGATCTTGAACTTCCTCTTCATCCTGGGACCTTTTCCTTCCCAGTATCTCCTTGGTTTCGGATCTAGGAGCTTCATTTCTTTCACTTTCATTATAACATCTTTCGCAGCACACAGGCGCAGAAACTGGGTATAAAAATTCCCTGGAATTACACTTGAAGCTTCTTCCTTGTAACCCACCTCTTCACATAATGGTTCTAAGGCCGACATGCTATGAATTGCAGCTCTAACTGGATTAAAGAACAAACCAGTTGGGACTCTTACAAGAACACACATACCTATTACAACTGATTGAACAATTCTCCTCTTCCCAGTAATTCCTTCTTGTAGTATTTCTTTGATAATCCCATCTATATCCTCTTTTTGGCCTTGCAGGTATCTATAAAACTTCAGGTTAGGTACTTCTGCTCCCTCTTCCATGTTAATAGCATGGTCACACTTTCTAGGAGGAGGTAATCCTGGTCTGGGAGTCAACACCTCAGAAGATTCTGCCATAATTCCTTCCCAATTGGAATCCTTCAACTGATTCCCCTCTCCCTTCATTTTACTGCCTTCCCAGTAGATAAGATAGCAATCACCAGCATCCTGTACAATTTGTGACCTGGTCTTCAGAGATACTTTCATAGATTTTGACTGAGGGTCCCCATGAATAGCCTGACTTAACCCCAGCCGATGCCACTTTATGCTTTGCTTCTGAAAATTGATCTCCACATCCCCCAATCCAGTCAACCAATCCATGCCTAAAACCAAGTCAGCTCCCTCCAACTCCAGCATGTAGAAATCTTGTTGAATGACAGCTCCCTGCAAGCTCAGAATTAATTGTTCACACCTGCCCTTGTTGAAGACCTTATCACCATTCCCCAGCTGCACTTTGTAGCCAGCAATGGTCTGATAAGGGAGGGTTAACTGCTCTACCATTCCCTGAGAGAGGCTCCACTATCAATTAGAACATCTACTAGCTTCTCTCCCTTAGCCCATTTTAGAATTCCTTGTACCCTAAAAGCCCTCGTAGAGGGTTTTCCGTCCTGGTTCATGAAGGACAATTGCATGGACTTATATTCCATGGTGATCTTTTCTTCTTCAGGGATTACCCCTTCTGGGTTAACTATTTCCTCTTCTCCCTCGGAATCCTCCACTAAAATCAGTTTGTAATTCTTCATTTTGCAAGAGTGCCCTCTTCCCCATCTTTCACCACATTTGAAGCAAAGTCCCTTCCGGCTTCTATCTTGGTATTCTTCATGTGTCAGCTGTGGCCCTACTCTTCTTATGTCTGGGGAATTTATTTCAGTTTCCATCTTCCCATCGGGAGTAAACCAAGGTTGAGTGCCCTGCTGTCCTGAATTCTTTCTACCACCAGTCTGGGATCCTGAACTTCCAGCTTTTGGCTTGTATCCCTCATCCCAAACAGGTTGTCTATAGTTCATGGATCCCTTGTCCCTTCCTTCCAGTTTCTCTGTAGTTTTACCCTTAGTGTAAATAGCATCATTTTTCTTCTCAATCGCTTGGGCCCTGTCCATGGTAGCAGCTAGAGATTTGCCATTGAAGAGTTTCAGTTCAGCCTTGATTTCTTCCTTGAGGCCATTGATAAAAATGCCTCTCAGCATACCCCTGTCTATGTTCTTCTGTGTAGCTATTACCTTCTCAAACTCATCTCGATAGTCCTCCACAGTTCCAGTCTGTTTCAGGCTCAACATGGCTCCATAGGGATTCTGCAATAAGTCAGGTTGGAACCTACGGATAACTGCATCCTTCAGATTTTCCCAGGTTTTCTCCTCGGCCTGTTGTTCCCACCACTGAAACCAATTCAAGGCCCTATCATCCATAGCCACCATTGAAACCTCAACCTTGTCTTCCTCCTCTGTTTTATTCAATCTAAAGTAGCGCTCCATTCTTACTAACCAGTTATAGGCGCCTACTCCATTAAACAATGGCAGATCCACCTTCCGGCCAGTATGGACTCTGCGAGTAGGGATGGGAGAGTGTACAGAAATACCTCTCGAGTACTCTGGGCTGTGCGGTGATCGCGATAGGTGGTGATGTGGTGATCGTGATCGACGGTGATGAGGGGAACGGTAATGAGGGGAACGGTGATGCGGTGATCGCGATCTCCCTCTAGACGGGTCCCTCCTGTTCTGATAAGCTGCCATGGATGTAGCGATGCTGTTCTGGATTTGCTCATTCATCGCAACAGTGAGATTCGTGATGGTAGCTCTCATCTCCCGCTCAAAGGCTTCCATGCGTTGTTCCATTGTGGATCTCGTTTTTTACCATCCACTTCAGGAAAAAAAAACTAGGTTGCAGTCGCTACCTCACGACGATCCTGAAACGAGAAACGATGCAAAAACGAGAACTCTACTGCAGTCGCACTTCACCTGCGATCCCCCAGGAGCGATTTCTCTGATACCAATGATAGGATCCTGTGAATAATCTCAGCAAAAACAATAACACGCACAACAGATTTGATAGCAAAGAGGGAAATAGTAGTTTATTGATGAAGCAAGCTTCGACTTAGGCAACAAGTATCGGGACTCTTAGGCAACCGGGACTTAGGCAACAGATAATCAAAATCAGTCTACCCTTATTAGCTACCCAACTTACTATTTATAGTAGTAGGTCCACGCAGGGACTAAAATAGAAAAATAGACTCAATAAATGACCCCAGCCCACTAATTGACCTCAGCCCATTTTATTTCTCCTTTCAAATACCCTATTAAAATACTTAAACAGGCAGATTTCTATCAGATACGGTGTCTGGATGAAGTACCGGTGCACCATAGAACACACACATACATACAAACACACACGTGTATAATTAATTAAGTATATATTAAGCCATGATTGCGATTATATGTAAAACCCGCATAAATATATATATATATATATAAAAGTATAAAATTTGTAAATTATATACAAATATAATAATTAAAATCATTGTTCAAAATTTGCCATCATTGACCAACAAAAGTCAATATGGTGAACCTTTTGGAGATAGAGGTAGTATTGTATAATAAAAGGGTTCTACGCCTTGTACAGTTGTACTTAGTAGTGGAGGGCCGGCCCTTTAGGAGAGTATTATAATAATGAGCCGATAGGGGGAAAGGAGGTAGGCAGAAATTGGTTTGGGCTTGGAATAGGACTGGGAGAGAGGAGGCACTCTCGAACTTGCCTTATCTGTAATTTTTCTTTTTCAATTCATCAATTTCCATTCTGAATATACACAATTTACGTTCAACTCTGGATCCTATCAATATCTCACCTCTTATGCGGTCCAACTTTTTAAGTCTCAGAAAATCATGATTGGATACGAATGCTTGAATGAATGTAAGAGTAAGTGCTCTAATTCCTCTCAGTTGAGAAACTACTTATAGGTTGTGATACTTTTTTGCAACCTCTGCTAATTCAATTCAAGTGTCTCTTAACCACATATTGACCACCAATCAATGACCTCCATGGTCTCTGCATCTATCTGAGTGGCTGCCATAGAAAACTCCCTTCATGTGAACTTTGCAAATTGATCTCTTAACAGTCATTTTTTGGGGGTTTC